AGGAAACAATAATCCGTAAAAAAATATAAGCCATTCAGAGTTCTTATTCCACCTTGATTTGGATTTTATTCTTTAGAACAAACAAAAACCTGCAGGAAAGTGAATGTTGTAGCACATCTTAATAAGCAGAATATACTTGTACCTTTCCCAGCCTTATTATCTATATTTTATGGAGTATGAGGAAATTAATTGTGGCAAAAGTAGTATGTTATAACCATCAAAGCTGATCCTCACAACTGTCTCTAAATTCAAACAAAAATATGTTATTTTAAGCTATGCTCATTGTATTTCTTCAAAATATATCACAAAATTACATTAATCAATAATTTTTTGATGGCAAATAAACAAATATCACATATCATATTTTTAGGAAATGCGAATAAATGCGTCCGCTCTAGACTTTGTCGTACATTTTGAAGCAATAAATCATATGGAAATAACAAATAGTATTCAAGATAAAAAGACCATTTAAGGTAGTCCGATCCTCAGGTTTATAAAATTAGCAGGTAAGTAATCAAAAATACTCATAAAAATATCTCTGAATCCACAAAGTTATGTAAATTTGTCCACAGTATTTCTTTAAAGTTAAAGATTGGAGTTAATCATATTATATAGGGGAAACTGTCAAATCTCCAATATTTTTGTAGACAAAGCGAATTGGAATATCAACAATGCATTTTCTAATTGCAAATTGATCAACAAATATATTTTAAGTTAAAAAACGATAGGTATCCAGGCATTCAGAGAAATTGTCATGATTTTTATACTTATTTGGTATTTTTTGTCTTCTATTTCCGTCATGTATTCTATAATACATAGTGTTAAAGGCTTATGCTATCATTGCAAGACAGCACAAATCACTTCTCATTTCATATCATGCTAATAAGCATTGGTATCTAAAGCTGTATTCAAGAAAATCTTATTTCTCTACAATTGTATTAATTTTTTCTCCTTTTATAGGGTACAAATGTAAACCTTTATAAGACCTTTTCTAAGACTTCCAAAGACCTTGAATCTTATAAAGATGAATAAAATGAAAATTGTTGCATGAAAAAAATTCATTTTCAAGCTTCATTTTGATGCATTTCAAATTAAATATAAATTTTTGGAGTTATCCTTCCTGGCTGAGGATCGGATATCCTTAACAATACAAAATAGGAACAGAGCAAAAACTTACCCCCAAAAAATCGGAGTTGGATCAGGTGCAATGGAGGAGTAAGCATCCCCTACCGACCGGTCACACTTGCCGTGAACTCCTTGTCATTATTTGGAAATAACAGGAAAATCCGTCGTCAATCAGTTTATGAATGGGACCAAAAATTTGTAGGAAAAAAATCAGTCAGCATTTGACTTAATGATTATTTGTATTTGCTGACAAAGTCATTGTATTGATCACAGAACTTACGACATGATGATTTTAAACAAGCCAACTGAAATTCTTGTTTCATCAGCTTGTTTGTCAATGATTCACCTCGTTTTGGAAATTGTTTATACGTATAGAATGCTCTTGTGTATCGAATCAATTGAAATATATCGGAGGTATAAAGTAATACATGTATGCATGTGATGACGTAATATATTTTTTTCTATTTACTAGGATATGGTTCTTTTTTTAAACAATTGCTACATTTTGTTAGTTTCATTAAGGAATATTTCCACTTGGTCCTTTGAAAAAAAATATTTGTATCTTGTAGTATAATTTCACTAGGTCATTTAGAACAAGCATTTGTATATTTTAGTATAATTACTTTCTACTTATTACTAAAAAAAAAGAAAATTAGATGCCGAAAAAAGTCTTAATTACTTATAAATTAAGTACTATTTTAGCAATGATTAAAGGATATTAAGATTAAGGATCTTTCTTTACCTTGTTGCCCGCGGGGCTCAGTATTTAGACTATATGCTCTAGAGTTGAGAAGTGAGGAGGTGATCCTTACTAATTCTAACCCTTTGTTTCACAAACCAATCATCTCTTCTTGTAGGCCTCCCAACTGCCGCTAAGGTTCAATGTTAAGCACTATAATTGTTTAGAACAGGTCCAAGCCATCTTATTAATTTAAGCAAGTCTGTTTATAGCGTTTCTTCTTTTTTCTTTGCTGTTAGTAGTATCCAGTAGTCGTAAAATTTAATACAGATGTAAAACTAAATTTCCATGTAGTTACGGACACTATTTAGTTACTAAATAGTGCTTTTTAAATTAAAACATCAAGTGGAATCTGTTCTTTTTTTGAATGTTGACCTGATTGACTTGGTCGTTCTTCTTTGTGCTTCGTCATAAATAGGATAATTGATTGTTAAATTAATAAACTATAAACTGTACATGTATTAAAATAGTGCTTGAAATGTATGGGATAGCCTCCAACATTTCTGATTAAATTCGATATTCATATAATCTAAATCATCGGATAATGGATGTGCTTCTTGTGGCCTGAAACCCTGTTGCTGAGAAAATATTTTCATGCGATTGTATGATGATTGTTTTGTAACTGTGTTCACTGAGATCTCCGATAATGTAAAAAATCAGATTTCTTAATAATTCTTTTTTCAAAACACTTAATTTGAATTATTTTTCTAAAGTTTTGTTTTAATTAACCACTATGAGCGATGTGTAAACAGTGATTTGATGTTCGTTTATAGACTTGTCGGAGAGGAGTTGATATTGACATTTGTAAAAAATGACTTTTTTGATATAATACTTGCAAAATTGATGTCAAGCTCAGTGAGTTTGTTCATAATCAAGCGTATATCTACACATGCAGATGCTTTGTGATTAAATATTTAAATCGGTTATATGTAACAGTAAGCTCTAACGACAACGCTTGGGCGAAGAAAAAATTTGGACTAATGCACATTAATTCGATAAATGTTACAACATATTATTTTGAAAATGTTCACAATACTGTCTATTGTATATAGTCTGTATAGCTTTTTCTGCACTTATAAATGTCACTTATGATGTGTTATACTTTTAAAGGTGCATAGACAGAGGTTTTGAAGTTAATATTTTCTCAAAATATTTCTCAAATTTACTCTGAATTTCTGCATTATTGTTGAAATATTCATTATTAATACACGACAAATTGCCATTTCATTAAGTATTAAAATTAAATCATATTTGTGAAAAAGCAGTTATGCAAATTTGAAATAATTTCGAGATGAGAAAAAAAAAGATATTTATTATATTTTTGCATGACATGTTTTTGCAAAATATAGATCGTACATTATGCTGAAAATTTGAGAAGATATTAACTTCAAATCTGTGTGTTACAGCTTCAGCTTTGTTGTGTTAAGAACTTAAACACTTGTTTTGATGTGTTAAGATATGTTTAATTTCTAAGCACATTAGAAATTAATATGTTAAGAATCCATACAACTCTCTATACACTTTGTTGACACCTTCTTTTTTATATGGTCGCCCGTGTGGCACAGTGGTTAGAGCGTCTGCTCTAGAGTCACGAAGTAAAGAATTGATCACAACATCGCGGGCTCGAGTCCCACTGTTTGACGTGGAGTTCTTCGGATGAAACCGTACATACCGAGGTCCCGTTTTGCAATAGGTGCTAGCACGAAAAAATCCAACCCTCCTCGATGGCCCTGAGTACCGAGCATAGGACAAAATTTGCAGCTCTCCACCGTCAAGTAGTTGCGTTTCCATATGAGTGAAAAATTCTCGAGAGGGACCATTAACAACAAACCATCAATTAATCAATCTTTTTTTTTAATATTGAATGCCTAAACATGTAAAACTTCTATACATGTACGAGGGAATGTTCAGAATCTAAACCGAGTGGAGTTCTGCTGTGATCTCTGTCTATTTCTAAATCTGTTACGAAGCAATCTCCGGAGGATCTGGAGATCTGTTTCTGTTTCTCTTCTTTCTCTTTGCCTGCAAATATGAGTATTTTATGATTTAAAAAAAGATATTGTTTGAAAACACACATTTTGAAACTTTATGTTTTAGATCAAACTTTAATGAAAGTTATATGCTCTACATCTTTGCATATTGTTTAAGATGTGACCTAAGTTGAAATATGGTGGTTAGGGTTGACATTAAACAAACTTTAATTTTTAATTTGATTTTCTTTATATCTACCAGTAAGTACGCATAATCAAAGATTTAATTTACCCATGCATAATCCCTTAAATTATTTTCCATAGTTTCTTCTAAATGCAATCAAAAATGGTATATATCCGAAGATTGCCGGAATCTGATAACAAGTTGAACCTTGTACTATCTCTTTGTAGAATGAAATATTTAGATAATTTCTTTAGCATTCGTCTATAAATCAAAACAAGTGAAAGAGAAGGATAGTAAAAACAATTGAGCAGAAATCCATTAAACTCTATCTATTGAAACTGTTTTATGAGCAGAGACTGCCGCCGATCCAGGTGTTTTAAATTACGTTGATATATTCAAACCGGACATTAAAACCATAGATATTCCAGAAATAAATATTATAAAGAAATATTTGTTTATAAATCATATCTTACCTTTTAAACTCTTGGCTATCGAGAGGACTCTTGAACATTTCATTCTCATCCTTATCTAAGAGTGTTGCACCTTGGGAAAAATGCAGAAATCGTAGTCACAAAAATTATCTCAATTAATGTTTAGCAATGAAAAAGAAAGAAAATTAGTTTGCTTTTTTAGTAATGGATTATTTTAAATGTACCGTATACACTCGTCTATTCGGCCCGCCTATTGTTCGGTTGTAACTTTTTGAGATTATTTTGAAGGGACTTGCCATTGATCAGCTTATAAGTAGGCACTACTTTCTGCAAGAACCGACTTACAACTTCAAATCAATGTTTTAATGATGTATTAACCTGGTTGAAGTACAATTGTTTTAGAAATGACGCCAATAATTAATTCTAAATCAATAAAACATAAGTATGCACACTTAAGATAAAAATAAATTTATTGAAATACCAGTATGTAAATATTTATACCTCTAGCTTACAATACAAACATGATATAATATAACTAGAGTTTATATTCAACGATAATCCTCGGACCAGTTAATAAAATATTCCATGCTGCCGATCAAAATAATGCAATCTTTTATGACTCGCCTACAAGTCGCACAAAGAGTTTTGCGCAAAAATTGTACTCCTAAAAACCGACTTATAGGCGAGTATATACGGTAATTGATAATCAAAATAAAATTAAATTAGGTCTGATTTGTGGACTTAATTGAATCCTCGTTTCTGACTTCTATCTACGTGTATTTCAAGACACACCAGATATGAAGATACCGGTATCCATATGTTACCTTTGATAAAAATTATATGAATATACAGTTTAATTCAGACTAGACCATTTTCGTACAAATTTGCAGTTACATAATACATGTACAAACACCTTCTGTCTCATGTTTATCATTGTATCGGTTTAATTTTTCAACTTCGACAGAAAAAAAGTGTTCAACATTGAATCAACTTTGCCTCTACATTCATTTTGCTCCTAGAAATTATCTCTTACTTACTATTTTTTTTATTTATGAATCGAAAATCACAAGTTTGGTAAATGCAAGTATTTTTTTTTTTTATTTTGCATTTATTAAAATTTTTGTTGATATTTTTCCGGAAGGTACATTTGTATTTAAAAATTGTAGATTTACAAAAATATTTAACGCGAACGAAAATAAAAAAACATTTAAAAAAGGAAAGAAAAATTCAGAGTCAAGTGCAAATACCCGGTAATTCAAATTTAACAAATAAATTAAAACAAATTATGAAGGTATGGTTAATGTGTTTTAATTTTTTTTATGTTTCCAATTTAGTAGGATGGATTACTTATTGCATAATGTTTACTGAATGTGCTGAATATCTTAAAGTTAACAACAAAGTGCACATTTCAAGAGGCAATGTACAAAATTTTAACATGGTTCATAAAAAAGATAATAAAGGAATGAAAAATTACGAATTGTTTTATATTCAAGTTTCCTGGGTCTAAACTACTATTTGAATTAATGTTTTTTTTTTCATTTAATAAATTGAAAATATCTTCTTACCTTAATTTATTATGAAGATCAGCAAAACAACAAGAAGGAATTTCCAATGCATATTCGGTTTATCTACAAATAAAAGTTTAAAGAAAACACAATTCACCTGTTATTCCAAAAAGTACATATGCTCCAATAAATTAAAAAGTTTGCAAAAATTGCAGTAACCATTAAAAATACTTTAAAACTTAAAATAATTACATTAACTTTTTCTTTACACATGTTTGAAGACAAAACGTGATTTAATTCTCTAAAAAACAGCCTTACCCCTTTAAAAGTTTGGATGCTGCAATGCAAAAGTACGAATAAATTCTGAAATTTATATACATTTTCGAGTGGCTTCAAAACAGGATGATGCATTTTTTCTTGAAATCATTGACACATATCACGTGATTACCAGTTAGTAATTAAGAATGAAATATTTCGGAAATTGAGCACTTCAAGTCATCTCGATCATTGTACTTATTTCATGTATTGCAACCCTTGAAATCTTTTTGACAAATAAAAAATAGCATAAAAATGTTAAACTATATCAAAATTGTTTAGAAAAAAAACAAAACAACTAAAATATACATGTATATTGGCTGGTTCTTTATATTCACCGGTTTTTTTTTCTTTCAAAAATCAAATAGAAGGAGGACATGAAAAAAGATTTTGAGATTTTAATTATTTTACTGAGGAAAATTAATATTTTAATTTGATTGAATATTCAAAAACAATCAAATTGCTTATTGAACTTTTTTTGAGAAAAAAAATCAATCTTATGTGGAAAGTGTAATGTTCTTGTACATTGAATTTTTATCTCTTAGAGGCGCTACTTTTTTTTTTTTGAAATTCATTATTTTATTTTTCTAATACAAATGGCTTGCCGATCATACAGAGTGATTCAATATTAATATATTGAAACTTGAATTCTCTAAATTTTTGTAGAAAAAGATTATATTTTAAAAGCAACTAAGACACTTAAAATTCTTGACAAAGAAAAAATTTCACATTGCTTAGCATTTTCAATTATTTGACCTTTCTGTACTCACAAAATATAATTTGTTTGAAAATTTCAAAAAGCAAGAAAAGTATTTAAATTCTAAAGATTGCCGAATATCAGCAGATTGATCAAGATTTAATCATAAAAAGACAAGATGTGGAGTACTTGATGTGAATATTTGAATATTACTAAAACGGTGTAAATTGTGTGCTTAAATAGGCTAATTGTTTTCCTGAACTTTCAGAATTTAATTAATATTTTAGCCACAATACAATGATTCATGAGAAAAAAAATAACTCGATATTTCGGAAACAGCATAAAACATTTCACTGCAGAAACAAATCTGCGTGCAACCAGCATGGAAAATAACAAGCTAAATTTAACAGTTTTATATATATATATATATATATATATATATATATATATATATATATATATATATATATATATATATATATATATATATATATATTTCAAATTGAGAAATTTCCTTCTAAAAAAAAAACTTTTGACACAAAATGTGCAAACTGACAATCCTTATCGAATGGGTTTAAACGTATTTTTGTACTCGATAAAGTTGATTTGCATTGTACGAGAATTCGTAGAATTCAGATTAAATGTTAAAAAAATAAAGGTTCAAAGCAGAATATGCTCAATAGATCAAAATCGAACCTCCTTAAAAAGGTCATTATATCTAAGCTTTTAAAATATTTTGCATAGCTCCCATTTAAATAATTAATTATATAATGAAGAACCTTTTCAGAGAATTATTATCCCTGAATTTATTTATTTATTTTTTTTTTTTTTGGATTGCAGGGTGGGCTCATATTTTAATCATTAGTAGATGGTGCTCAAATTCACTCATTTTCTTGTAGTTTCAACGTACAGTATTTTTGTTGTATATTTAATTTTCATCTCATATCATTAGTGACAGTATTTTTTTTCTAGTTTTCCAAAACGTTTTTGCTTATTTTTGTGGAATGACAAATTTTTTTCAAAGGCAATTGTATTTGATAGTAGGATCTAGTAGGAAAGTCTTTATTCAAATGGACAATAAAGGATACATTTGATTTGATCTTTGAAAAAAGAGAATATATTTCTTGTAAATGATTTTTTTTTCTCAAAAGAAGTACAATTTTTCTAAGAATCAGAATTTTCAACTTTTATTCATTTTTATGCAATCACGACAACCAATCTTATGGCAATAACAAATGACATGAAATTTTAAACTGTATCAAATATGCATGTTATAAAAACTAAAAAAAATAGAGATTTTGAATTAGATCTGTTTTAAAGGAATACATTTTTTTACATGTTTGGAGACTTTGCTATCGCATTGACTTCATAACACTTTTTAAAATTGTTAATTTGGGGCATGTTTGCTGAAACACCCACTATGTGCTTTTATAAAGCTAATAAGTATGAGCAAACAATTTCTCTTTTTATTTAAACATTCGTTTCATTCAATTTGACTAATTTTACTATTCCCGATAAATTCCGTAATATTTTATAAGTATTTCATTTAAGACACTAGTTCTGATACACAGTAAAATAAAGTAAAATTTCTAACAGAGTTTTAGGAAAGGCGTATAATATTTCAAAATTAATAAATGTGTTAACTTTGTGACATAGAACCTAAGATAAAATGTCATACCATCCTGATTTTTTTTTCCAAATTCAAACACTGCCTCTGTTTAAATTGACAAGTTTCTGAAGAAAAATTTTGCATGTGAGAGAAGGATGATGAAACAAACAAACCACTTGATCTTTACACTTGGGAAATTGAAATGAATGACGGCAAAATCCATCTAGACCATATCAGATGTGAATCGCTTTAGTACATTTAAAAGTGGATATTTGTTATTATGAAATATCACCAATTTATCTCCATTTATTTTCTACGAAATGCTGGTAATCATGTATGACCTGATTCTTAAACACGTTTAAAGACGAATTATTGGTGTAAGCTTCCTTTTATACGTAATAGGGTTTTTCAATTAAACTAATTTGACATATATTTGAATCATAATGGAAAATTGAGTCTATGCGGGATAATTGTCTTTCTTAAGAACTACTGGGTACATTTGCATGTATTCATTTTACTAGAGGTTTGAAAATTTTAAGTTCTGAAACTAATTTCTCTTTTTAATAAAAGAAAACATCTAGTTAGGATAATAAACATCAAAACAAACTAGGTTTCAATTTGATACAATTTATAAATTGGCTTCAATATGGTCTTTTAATTTCAATTTTAATCCAATCAAAACATTGTATTAAAAATCTTATCAAGATCAAATGACAATTCCCCATTCCATTTTGGGTCTGTTTGTAGTATACGTATTATATGTGAACCTATATCACACTGTCATCTCGGACATTTTTTCCCAAACTGATGCCAAATGGTCACCTCCGAAAAATTATTTTTTATGAAAAAAGCTTGTCCTCTACCAAATCTTAAGAATATTCAATCATTTGCACTAGATAGAAGTATATACATGTAAGTCTATTTTCTTTTTATTCGACCAGTTTTAGAATATTTTAACATTTTTCTGGGTAAATTGCCTACAAGAATTTTTAAATCAACTAAACTAGAAATGTTCTGTATTTAGAAATAGGTTAGGATATATTGAATAAATGAAGGAAAAAACATAATCTTTTTTTCTATAGAATTGTGCATTCTAAAGCCCTTCTCTATATTTCAAAAGATTGTCCCGCCTTTTGCATGATAGCCCTGAAATATCAATAATTTTGATTTCTTTTACCAAAACAATAACGTTCTCACATTTCAAGTTTCCTGCCTTCTACTATTCAATTATGTAGAATTTACAATTAGATACAAAATATATTGAACCGTATTCAAATTTAAAGAATATCTTAAAGGAATCTACTGAAGACAAGAAGTATGTCAAAATTGTTAATTTTGGTAATCGTTAAGAAAACAAATATATATTGTCCTTAAAAAAAGATAATTTTAGTAATTTATATGCTCTTTTGTAAATGCAGTGAAATCGCATCTTGACGCAGTTGCGTATATCAGAACGAGGATAACTATTATTTCTGATAATCAGATAATGATACTTTATGTCTCCATAGTATGATAAAATTTTAGTAACCATCCATCGAATCTGATCAAATCTACATACTTTGCTGTAAGGTGATAGGCAATTACCCAATAAAACATAATTCAACTTTGAAGCTGTTCAACTGTACATTTAGTTTCCAAAGAGATGTTTATAGGCGTATTATTTCATGTTTAGGGGCCTCGGTTTTTAAGTTCTCATCCGTAGGACCTGCAACTTTCACTTCAAAGTGCCGAGCACATAGCGAAGGAACAGTTGCTACCCATTTTTTATCGACTTAGGTCAGTCGCGGCCGAGATGCGAACTCACGACCTCCCGATCACGGAGCGAGCGCTCTACCGACAGAGCTACCGTGAACGGTCCTTTGGTATGAGTATACATGCTAAGTAATAAATCGATCTTGTGTATATGTTATCTTTTCTTTTTATTCTACTTTCTTGTTAACAAAAATTAATATTACCTATTATTAATTATTTCATCATTGTAAACCATTGTTAACTCTTAATATTAGTAACCCTGACCTTCTTTGTGAGGGCATATAGTCCAATTATGTAAATTGACATTATAGAATAAAATACTAATTAAGATAGAAAAACTAGAGTACTGTCAGCAAAAAGCTCATTAAATAATACCCCGCTTCCCATATTAATAAAATGACATTGTCCAAGTTTTTTGTTTTTTTTTTGTATGGGTTTCTATGGGTAATTGCCCTCTCTAGATTGTTTTACGGTACGTGTAAAG